TCTTTGCCCTTGGTAGCTCTGCTTGTAGGGAAGTCGAGCCCAGGGGCTGCAGGGAGGTTGGCCAGCCGAGTTGAGTGACGGTTGGCGTCGTTAGTAGGAGTAGTAGATCTTGGAGAGGCGTCGAAGGGGGCCTCGTCGTCTGGGAGATTGGGATTAGAGATCCCGGTAGAATGTAGCGGAGCTGGCTGATTACCAACCTGGTTGTTAACACAAGAACCGGGCATTTCTGCAGACAGATCGCTAAGTTATCCTTGGGGTAGAAGGGTTGAAGAATCAATGAGGGAAGAGGGAGAAGAACCCAACTACGATCTTGAGCCAAGATGGCTACGGTCGTCTTACGATCACTAGTGTCCCAAAGGCTTGTGCTTACTAAGCCAACCTATGTCTAAGGGACGACTAATGGGATCGACAAGGACGAAAGTAGCGAGTGTAACAAAGCAATATGATCATAGAACTGCAAAAGAGAACGAATTCGACGCCTAGCCGTTTCAGCCGTTTCAACAAGACGACATGAAACTGCCTAGCGGAGCGAAGCGATCGCTACAGAAGATATATGGCGGAGCGAAGCGATTCATGTTTGGTATTTTCAGGTATATCTATGGTCAGAGAGTTGAGGTAGACGTTGAGAAGTTGAACGTGTTATATATGCTTGCTGAGGAGATGGGATGTGAAGGCTTGGAAAAAGCTTGTCGAGAAAAAATGATCGATTTCGGGGAAAGATTGGTAATAATTTTTTTCCGGAAAAAATTCAAGAAGACGATATTTTGGTTAGGTTGATGCACAGCTGAGAGCTGATGTCGATATGGTCGGAGAGTGGCAGAAAACGCCCGAATTTGACAACGGTGATACTTTGCACGCATGCGCATGGGAAGATCCTCCCACAGGCGTACAGCCGGGATTGACATCAGCTTCCTCGGATCAGCTTTATGATGATGGAGACTCTGAAGTAGGGATAGGTAGCGAAAATTCGTTGGAAAATTGGCAAAAATTGTGAAATTTTTTCCGGAACTTTTTCGCTTGATTCAGAAAAGCGTGGTTCGGACGTAGGAAAATTGGCAAAAATTGTGATTTTTCCGGACTTTTTTTCTCGATTCAGGATAGTGTGGTTCGGGCATTGAAGGATCCGGGTGGGGATTGGGAATTTCGTGGCGCGGTGACGGAGGGCGCTGTGTTAAGGGAGGAGAGTTCGAAAAGCTCCAGTACTGGTAGCTTCCTAGATATGGTAAAAAGAATTTTTTCTTAGCGGAGCGAAGTTTTTCTCCTCCAGATCCGACATTCTGGTTCGTTACCTCAGCTCGATCGTGGCCGTATGATCGATACGCCGGGAGCTTTTGAAAAAAAGTAATTTTCTTTTCCGGTAAAAAAATCTGATTTTTTTCCAGGTATGAGTTGATCTCGATAGAAGAGGGCGGAATTTTGGGAGAGGGAATGAACGGCGCGGTGCGGCTCGCAAAGGACAGATTTTCCGGCGACCGGGTCGGTAGATTTTTTGGGGAAATTTTTTGAATGTGATGGGAAAATAAACGAATATTCATTGAGATAAAATATCATCAATTACGTGTGTTGAAAAAAATTTGAGGGAATTTAGGGAGATTGTTATTGGTTTTCGCACACTCCTACCCGAATTCGTGGGTGAATTTTTATAATTAGTGAGGAAACTGTTGGATTCTTCTCCTTTTCGTATTTTTCGACGTTCTCTTCCGAAAACCTGTGAAAAGCGGGATGTGATTTTTTGTCCATGTCAGGTCGCAGTGAAAAGTTTGAGCCTTGTGAATATGAGCTCGGCCCAGAGAGATATGCTTTATGACGAGATTAACATCTATTTGCCGCTATCGCATCCTAATATAGTACGGAAGAGAAAAATAACAAACATGAAACGCTTCGCTCCGCTAACAGGTTCGCTTGGAAGAGGTTTACGAAGAACCGGGGGAGAAAATTATATTAGTAATGGAAGCGTGTACAGGGGGTAGGGAATTTTTTGGGAGGTTGAAATTTTTTTGCAGGAAAAAAATTTTTTCAGGTGAACTGTATGAGCGCCTCGCTAAACTGAATCGTTATAGTGAACGCGACGCGGCGAAGATCCTCCGGCATATCCTCTATGCTGTGAGTTACCTTCATTCCCTCAATATTTGCCATCGCGATATCAAATTGGAAAATTTTGTGTAAGAAGGAGAAAATTTTCGGAAAATTTGTGGTAATTTTTTGGATTTTTAGATACACGGATGATACTGCAGATTGTCGATTGAAGTTATGCGATTTCGGTTTTGGTACGATTGTCCGTCGAGAAGAGGATTCCTTGACAGCCTCGATGGGCTCGGTGAGAATTTTTTCGCGGAAATTTCTGTCCTTTTTTCTGCAATTTTCCGGGGTGTGGAGTAGCATTTTGAAGGAGAGCGAAAAAATCACCGATTTTTCTGATTTTTCCCCGGCTAATCGTACGAAATTGCTTTTTCGGAAAAATTCAGAGATTCTCTTCTCGCAGCGATTGATGTGAGTGAGGCAATTTTGCGTATTTTTCCGTTGAATATTTTTTCCGAAAATCTTTATATTTTTTCGTTTTTCTTTCTGCCAGGTGCATTACGTTGCTCCAGAGGTTCTGGAAGGAAAATATGGTCTTCAATGCGACATGTGGTCAGTTGGAGTGATCTTGTATATGCTTCTTAGTGGCACTCCGCCGTTTGATGGTGCCAATGATGGCGAAATCGTGAGGAAAATCTTCCGGAAAAAATTGGAGGAAATTTCGTATCCTGTTAGAGTGATGCTGTTCGCCATACGCCGCTGAAGCTGACTGGTTCGCGATGGGACTGCATTTCGTGGAGTGCGAAAGATTTGGTACGAAAATTAATTTGCCGAAATCCGTCAGAGAGATTGACCGCGACGGAAGCGCTGAAACACGAGTGGTGTGGAAGTAATACGGCACAGGTTCAATCTCAGAAGGCGGTATTTTCTAGTTGAATTTTATATTTTTAGATGTGGATCGATTTTTGTATTGTGAGGGAAAATATTTATTTTTTTTTCCAGGCACGGATATTCTAAAATTGAATACCACGCCCAACGAAATCGATACGGATGTTCTTCGGAAGATGCACGCCTTTGCAAGATGCTCTGCAATCCAACGGGTAACCTATTCTGTATCTTTTCTGCTTGAACCTAAGATATTTGCGACACTCGTATAATTTGGGCGGGGTTTGATTCCAGTCTAGAATGGAAAATGTTCATCTTTGATCAAGAAACCGTTTTCCGACTTTTCGTTTTTGATTTTATTTTTTCCTTTTTTCGGTTATTTTATTATTTTGATTTTCTTCAGGCTGCGCTCGGATTGCTGGCACAGAAACGGGGAGATGATTTTGTTGGTATCGACGAGAATCTAAAATTGATGGAAGAAACATTCATGAGAATGGATACCAATGATGATGGTGAGAAGATTTTTTCCGAAAATTTTCCGGACAATATGGTTTTTGAGATTTTGAGAGGAAATATATCGGAAGTTACTCGAATTTGGGGGGTGTTGAATGTACGGATGAGCTGAAGTGAAATTTCGAAAATGGATGCAATTAATGATGGTTAGAGAAAAATTCATGGAAAAAAATTCAGGAAATTTGCGACGATTTTTTGTTGAAAGTTGTCATATACGGGAATCCTAGGTGGTAGCTGGCGCAGTGTGGGAAATATGCACATGGTCAACTACACGTGTCGGTTAGAAAATGGGAGTTTCAAGGCAACTCCTGAGGAAAGCGAACATTATTCCAGTACTGAGCTGATAGGATACGAAATATTTCCTCTTTGGTTTTTACTAATTTTTAGTTTTTTTCAGGAGTCATAACTCTCCCTGAATTTGAAGACGCTGTGCGTTTGCATGTGGGTATGAGCGAATACGAAGCGGACAAGATATTCGGAGAGATAAGCAGTTGCGGTTCGACGGTGAGGCTGCGGGCCTGTTTTGTATCTTGCAAGCAGCGAGGTTGGATATTTCCCGAGGAAAATAATTTTTGTGGGGATTTTCTTTGCTTTTTTTCTCGGAGAAGTTGAGGCTGGCGATGGAGTATTCCTAAGAGTGCGGTGCGGAGGAATCTTCTTTGTTGTCGTATGCATGCTTGAACCTAAGATATTTTTTAGGCAACTCAAGCGGAACCTGTTATACGTTATAGAGACTTCCTGGCAGCTACTATTTACTCATCGCGAAATAGAGACTCTAAACGAGATGGTGAGTTTTTGGTGTGGACCTATTCTGTATCTTACCATGGGTAACCTAAGATACGCCTGGATCGAGCGGTCGTCCTCGAGGCGAGAGCGCGATGGTTTTGGCGGTGGAACTCTGAAGATATTCAAAGTGCATACCAAGCCTTCGATGCTGGCAGGAAAGGG